AGTCAAAGGTTTTATGCTAGACAAATTCGATCCCGTACGAAGGATCTGAACCAATCCAAACAATTAGCGCTAAACAGAGTAAAGACCAGGTGCTCCACCGAAGGAGAAGACAATGCATATTATTTTTGCAAAAAATATTATTTAAATTTGAACATGAAACTAGAGANAAAACCAAATAAATTCAAGTGTAAGCTCATCGATCAAGTTGTTATACGAAAATATCAAATTTACGTTTTTGTATCTAAATTTACACNTTAATGCTAGAGTTTAGGGTTTATGTATTGGTTTTAATAGTTACATGCATTTATGAGGGTTTAACCTCTCCTATTAGGGTTTAACACCCTTTAAATTTTCAAAAACAATGATGGTGTAATATTAATAAATAACTTTAAAAGTTTGGTTCAAAAAAGAAAAAGTAATGAAAATTATAAATAAATATTGATTTCTAAAATTAGATCTAAAAATTGATTGATAAATTAAATTTTATTAATATGATATAAGTAGTATCATGTTCCTAATTTACAATATAGTTTAGATGTTGTAACAATCTAAAGCGTTCACACTAACATGATTAGTTATATCCGTACGAAAGATACATTAGACATCTATCTAGTTTAGTTGTATGATTTTAGTTTCAATTTAGAATTAAAAAATTTCTATATAAAAACGTAAATCATATTTTAAAGGCTAAAAGCGTTGGAACAATAAATTATTAACAAAAACTTATCCCGGTGCAGAGCGCGGATACTATGCTAGTTGTTAAATCAAAGCGTAGACTGCTTAGGACAGTCCGATCGGTCACCTAGTTCTTACGACTAGGTTAATCTTATTTGACCTACAAGGCTACAATTTTTTTTTGCTAAATTACAAGGCTACAATTACAAACATATAACACAGTTTGTCATTGAAACAATCCTCTCGCCACCTGGAGAGAGATGGTTCCGAGAAAAAAGGAAGTTGAAAACCGTCTTTTTTATCAAGCCAATTCGTTTGTCCAAAAACATACCAAATTACCATGCAGATACTAATATTCCTCCGCTTCAGCTAGAATGTGCCAGGTTTAATAGCTTGTGTCTATGCCTGAGCAAGGATTGACCGTTTCAATTTTTGCATTTTTTATAGAATTAAAAGTGGAATGTAATTCTGAATAACTCTTCCTAGAGTGAGTAGTATATGTTAGCTTTCTATGTATTTTTTTTATAATTATTTTATCTCTTGTATCAGCAACTTTAGAGTATTTCTGTAACGTCCGTGAACCAAAAAAAAGTTTTTTTGGGCATGTGTGTCGATCCACGGAGTAAAATCAGACCGACGGTTTCGGTTTCTGATTT